TCACCTCTAAGCTTTCTTGCATTGTCTCACACATGAGCTTTTGGGAGACACTTAATATTTAAACCATTACACCTGTTATGGACATTTCATATAAATGATCAAATAATGTTCTTTTATAACTGGCTTTACTTAGCATGTTTTCAAAAATTCATGTTATAATGAGATTATTTTTTGTATTGGGGACTCAACTCAGAGGTACTTGACCATTGAGCCACATCCCAAATCCTATTTTGTATTTTTATATAGAGACAGGGTCTCACTGAGTTGCTTAGCGCCTACCTTGCTTTTGCTGAGGCTGGCTTTGAACTCATGCTCCTCCCTCCTGAACTGATGGGATTACAGGCATGCACTAAGGTGCCCAGCACTTCAGTCCTTCTTATTGCCAAATAATACTTCATTGTTTTCATACCACATTTCATCTATCCATTCATCAGTTATGGACATTGGGTTGTTTCTATTTTAAGGCTATATGAATGATGCTGTTGAGAACATCTGCATATAAGTTTTTGTGTGAAAAGAGGTTTCATTTCTCTTGAGTAAACACTAAGGAATGAAATTGCAGACCCAGACTCTATATTTAACCTTGTATAGGCAGCTAACCATTTTCCTAATAAGTTGCAGTGTTTTATATTCTCACCAGCCTATGAGGATGGTTTGAGGTTTATTAAAACTGCAAATCCATTCATAAGAGTGCAAGTGAGATATAAAAACATGTTATATTATTTTTTCCCTCATTCTGTACTGTTGTTATCCATACTACGTTATAAACCCAACAATACTATAATTATTTCATATAATTTGATGTCTCTTAGAGAAAAGGAAAGCAAGTATATATTTATAGCATTAGTTATGTTGTTTTCTGGTTTTCGTCATGTATTCCTAAGAATTCAAATTACCATCTGGTGTCATTTCCTTACTCCAAATATACTTTGCTCACATTTACTTCCTATAGACTATTAATATCGTTATATGTTATAGACCTTTAGTAAAATTGTATACATACTGGGGCTGGGGATGTGTCTCAAGCGGTATCGCGCTCGCCTGGCATGCGTGAGGCCCAGGTTTGATCCTCAGCACCACATACAAACAAAGATGTTGTGTCCACCGATAACTAAAAAATAAATATTAAAATTCTCTCTCTCCCTCTCTCTCACTCACTCTTTAAAAAAAAAATTGTATACATACTGTTTTCTAAAGTTTCCCTGCAAATCAGTTAAGAAGAAATATGGCCAGATATGGCAACACTCACCTGTGATCTGAGTGACTCAGGAGATTGAGGTAGGAAGACCCCAAATTTGAGGCTTGCCTTAGCAACTTAGTGAGATCCCGTTCTAAAATCAAACTAGAATAAAAAGGTCTGGGGATGTAGCTCCGTGGTAAAGCACCCCTGGGTTCAATCCCCAGTATGGGGAAAAAAAAAAAGTTTACTGTCCAGATAGACAAAATATAGACACAGTACAAAAAAACTAGAATAAACCATGTAGTGTTTGACACGTTATACATATTTGGGGTCCAAGTATAATTCAACACATAAGTACAGTGTGATTATATGGGGTAATTAACATTTCCTTCTCAAACAGTTTGTTAGGGAGCTTCAGATTCCTATCCTAATTTTTTTTTTGTTTTTAATATTTTTTTAATTGTTAATAGACCTTTATTTATATGTAGTGCTGAGAATCAAACCCAATGCCTCACACATGCCAGGCAAGTATGCTACTGCTGACCCACAGCCACAGCCATCATCCTAGTTTTTTTTTTTTTACAAAACATAAATTATTATGAACTATAGTCACATTATTGTGCTGTCGAACATCAGAACTAACTTCTCGTAACTGAAGTATTTGCTACTTAGATAATAAAGGTCCAGGGCTGGGGAAGTGGCTCAAGTGGTAGCACGCTCGCCTGGCATGCGTGCGGCCCGGGGTTCGATCCTCAGCACCACATACCAACAAAGATGTTGTGTCCGCCGAGAACTAAAAAATAAATATTAAAAATTCTCTCTCTCTCTTTAAAAAAAAAATAAATAAATAAAAATAAAGGTCAAGTTTTGAGTAAGAATTAGAATCAAAGCATACGGTTCCTATTTTTCTCAACAGAAAAGTCCATTCAAAATAAAGATGCACATTACAGAGTAGTTAATAGTAAAGCCAGATTCCTAGATGGTTGCAAGCTCTTATCTTGGTAAGTCATCTATACTCCAGATTTCTCTTCTGTACAGAAATGTTAATATTACCTACACTTTAGGTTATAAGATTAAAGCATACAGTATAATATGCCTAGAACTGAATCCAGTAGAGCTTGTACAAGTGACTGCTAATTTGATTCTATTACTGAGACAATGGATAAATAATGAACTCCCTCAGGAGAATCATGTCAGTTTCCCCAGTTAAAATGCTTAACTTCCAAAAAGTAGAAATTGACTTCTCAAGATACAATGTTTATTAGCAAAACTGTAAAATTGTTCATATAATTTGAGGTCTCTTAGAGAAGAAGAAAGCAAGTACATATTTATAGCATTAGTTATATTAACTTTATAACAGTATAACATTTATACTGAGTTCTAAGGTGGTTAAATTTGAGATTTAATAAAATAATTTGTTAGGAAATGACCAACAACTTCTAATCTTCCAGGTTCTTTAAATATTATGTGATTTTAAAATGACTTGTGGGCTGGGGTTATAGCTCAGTGGTAGAACATTTGTCTAGCTAGCAGTGAGGCATTGGGTTTGATCTTTTTTTTTTTAAGAGAGAGTGAGAGAGGAGAGAGAGAGAGGGAGAGAGAGAGAGAATTTTTAATATTTATTTTTTAGTTCTCGGCGGACACAACATCTTTATTTGTATGTGGTGCTGAGGATCAAACCCGGGCCACACGCATGCCAGACGAGCGCGCTACTGCCTGAGCCACATTCCCAGCCCTGGGTTTGATCTTTAATACCTCATAAAAATAAAGGTCCATCAACTAAAAAATATTTTTAAAAAATTAATGTGATTTGGGGCTGGGGCTGAGTGGTAGAGCACTTGCCTGGCACATGTGAGGCCCTCAGCCACATAAAAAATAAACAAAATAAAGGTGTGTGCCCATTTACAACTAAAAAAAAAAAAGTGATTTGTACTATTCATTTACATTGAATTAATGCAATAGAAAACATATCTTAGGGTTTTTTGTTTTTGTTTTTTGATACGAGGGATTGAACTCAGGTGCTCTCAAATACGAAGCTACATACAGCCCCTTTTTTCAAATTTTGAGGCAGGGTCTTGCGAAGTTGCTGAGGTTGGCTTTGAACTTGCTTATCCTCCTGCCTCAGCCTCCAGAACTACTGGAATTATAGGCATGCACACTATGCTTAGCAATCTAACATATTTTAATGTTCTCTTGATGGGGAAGGGGAAATCACTGTCTAAATTTTTCTAAGATGCTAATGAAGAATCATTAGGTTAGGACTGCAGCCTAGTGGTAAAGTGTTTGCTTAGCATGCAAGAGGCCCTGGGTTCAATTCTAAGCACAGTAAAAAAAAAAATTATATTCAATTAAAGTTTTTCTTCTTCTTTTTTTTAATTCAGCCACTTTTATTTTTTTTTTTGAGAGAGAATTTTTTTAGTATTTATTTTTTAGTTTTTGGTGGACACAACATCTTTGTTTGTATGTGGTGACATGCGAGCGCGATACCGCTTGAGCCACATCCCCAGCCTTCAATTAAGTTTCTTAAGATAACTACTGGAACATTATTTATGCTATGCTTCTGAAATGTTTTGTACCATGCTCTTAATCAGTCCTGTTCAAAAGTCTAGAAAACTCAAGGCTCAAGCCCTTTGTGCCAAATAGACTTACTAAAGCAGGAAAAAAATAAGTATGCCTCAAAACACACTGTTAAATTCAACAGGACACAATCAACTATATCAAGTCTTCCCTCCCATCCCTAGCCTTACTTGCCAAAGGTACCCACTTTCCTGAGAAAATGAGTCTACTTTAGATTTAAATGCCTTTCTAAGCATAGCGTATTTTTTTTTTTTTGTACCAGAGATTGAACCCAGGGGCACTCTACCACTGAGCCACCCAACTCTTTTTTATATTTTACTATTTACATACAGTTTTTAATTTACAATATTTTCACAATTTCCCTTCTTTAGTACCATACTCATTACCAAAAACAAAACAAAAAAGAAACCCAAACCAAAACCCACTTTTTTATGTCAACTTCTTATTATATTTGAAACCAAAGAGATTAAGGTAATTTTATGAACTCAGAATCTTTTTTAAGTACATGAAATTTCCATTTTATTATACAGTTTTATATCACACTAGTTCAAATGCATTTCTCTAAAAACTCTTCCAAAACTTCTTTGGGATTAACTGAGTCATCTCTAACATGGCTGTGGCTTTACCACTGATGCTGAAGTTAAACAAATAAAATTCCAAATGATTGAATTTTTACATTAATAAGCTAAGAAATGGCCTCAGATTAATAGGGGTGTTAATCTCCATCAAGAAATGTTGTTGAAATGTTTCTTCTGATTCAGCAGTTATAAGTCAGAATCTTCAAAAAACAAGGGCACAACAAAAGTACCAAGAAGCTTATGCAGCTTATACCTCCCACAGTCCTAAGCCCAAGAGAAGCAAGGCAAAGCAACTTTCCTGCAAGTTAAATGGGTCTCCAGTACTTGCATCTAATTGAGCTTTCAGAGATATATACCTATCATCAATAGGTTTACCATCTAGGCTATGGTTGCACTAATTATGTCTAAATAGTTTAATACCCATCCAAGTCCAAAGGTGAAAAAACACATACACTGGTATGGTAATCGGCAAGAGCAAACTATAAAAGCAAAGGCTAGCAGTACTGGTACAGCCCTGTGGGAAGTTTTCTTCCACAGAGGCAGAGTAGAACAATCCTGCTAAAGAGATGAGTGGAATCAGAACAGTCAACGTTGGCAGAGACAGAAACATTCTTCTTTCCCACTTACTACCCGCCACCTTGTCTGAAAAGGTATATAGTATTAAGAAAATTTAATTGATTTTAAAAAATTATGAGTTAGTGTTGCTCCGTTTCTTCTTGTTTCTTATTTTGCTGTGTCGTCCTAGCTGCTTGTGGTATCATATTAGGAATTCCATCAATGATTGGATAGGCTATTCCCAATTCTTCATTAATCAATTCATTTGTTGAGGCTTCATATCTGAGGGGGGGAAAAAGAACAAAATGAACTGTAGAAACAAAATGCTTCTGAGCTTAATGTTCAATAAAAACCATTTATCCAATTTTTGATACTGTCAATCCCAAAGAGTATTAATTACAAAAGCAGCAGTAGCCAATTCAAGCATTTCTCTTAAGAATCTGTAATTATTTCCATTAGTTATTGCTCATATTATTTTTTCAGTTTATTCCCAAGTTTAGCCTTAATTCCTTTTTTTTTTTT